CACTTCCTCCAACAAGGCCACATCTCCTAATCCATTCAAAAAATTCACTTCCTATGAGCTTGTGGGGGCCATTTTCATTCAGACCACCATAATTATTCTTGAAAAAGTTTTTTTATACAATGTATTTGATCGTGTTTTCCCTTACCCAACTTTTCCCAGATCCTCCCATCTCTCTACCCACACAATTTTGTGTTCTCTCCCTCTCTCTCAAAACCCACAAAACAAAATAATCAAACATAAAAACAAAATAAAACAAAAAGTACCCCCAGAAAACAATGAAGTTTATTTGTGTTGATCAACTATTCCTGAGCATGGCGTCTGCCCTAGATTATACTTGAGATACCAAGTAACACTTCATCGTAGAAAACTGATTTTATCTTTGCCAATGGATATCAATGCAAATAGCTTCTTTTTAGGGGTGGGACCTCTGTCCACTTCCTGGGACCCCATCTGGCTTGAACCTGTGCAGGTGTTGAATGTGTTGCCACAGTCTCTGTGAATTCATATGTGCATTGGTCTTGTTGTGTCTGAAGGACACTATTTCCTTGAAGTCACTCATCACCTCTGACTCTTAAAATCTTTCTGTCTCCTCTTCTGCATAGATTCCTGAGCCTTCAGACAGCCTATTTAAGACTGAGTGCTCTAAGGTATCTCATGCTTGGCTCACTGTCCAGATGTGGATCTCTGTGTTATCTCCCATTTACTGCAAGAAGATGCTTCTGTGACTAAGGTACTGATCTGAGTCTGAACCGAATGTGGCCACTGAGGCCACGGTAGTAGAAAGTGTTTCTGACAGCCATTGACACAAAGCAACAAAGATGATCTAGGAGGAAGGGTTGAAAGGGATTGTGGGAAAGAACTAGGGGGATCCTGGGTCTATATCAAGAGGCAAAATCCCCAGGGAATAGAGGTAAGGTCATGAGTCAATTTCCAAAGCCCTGCTGAACTGTAGAGTAACAACAGTATGTGAGTTGGAAGAGACAATTGGATTTAAAATATTCTAACCTTCTTAAGTTATTCAAATGGTTAAATATCAATTCAAGTTATGGCCCATAAAAGGTGTGCACTCTATTCTAAGTGGCAAAGGTTAACTATTAAAAGAATGGAAATAAAGCTTTTACTTTCAAAACAATAAAGGAAGAAATACACTTTTTTTAAAGCAAGCAACTCAAAATAAGAAGGAACACAAAGAAGATGGATCTGTTGTTAGGTAAGAAAGGTGGTTAGAAAAATTACCAACAACCATCATAAATGTTAAACTCAGCAGCTAGTAATGGGATAGACAGCTTGGAGGGAAGTGGCTTTAGCTTTAACTTTATATTTATATCCTTAGTCTCAAGCTTCCCCTATATGTCCCTGTGATGCAGACTTGTTCCTGTTCTGTGGTGCTGTTGGGAGGTCCTGGGACCCTTAGGAGGTGGAACCTAGTGGAAGAATGTTAGGTCACCAAGGCAGGCCCATGGAGGGGACATGGAATCCTCTATGTCCCTTGAGAATATAGTTCTCAGGGGAACCCAGATAGCTCCCACAAGAAGGAGTTTGTGTAAAGGAACAAGTACACCTTTCACATCTCTTTGGCTTCCTATTTCCTCATGAGACCTCTCCATTTGCACATAACTGCCCCGCTCCCCTATTCTTGCCATGTTGGGAGGGAGCTGGTGGTTCCTGGATACGGCACTGGCATCTTGCTGTTGACCAAACAAGGCCCCAAAATCATGAATAAAATGAACCTTTTTATTTTAATGCTTTAGTTTGGGAGTGCCTCAAGAGTGGGTTGTTCTAAACGCAACTAGCTTCTCCCCAGAACCTCTCCTCACACAGTTTGTCTCTTTAGCACGTACTTTGACCACTGTAATGCCATCTACCAGAAGACCCTGGCTAGAACCCACCACATACCCGTGTCATGCTCTCTGACCTCCAGGGCTGTGAACTAAGAAAAACTTTTTTTTTAATACTCACATCTGGTGTTTTGTTACAGGAAAACAAGGCAACAAATTACATCTACTTACCAGTCCAAAGACATTTATGTTATTTCTTGCTTTGGATTATAACAAAATAAAATGTCTAAAAAACACCTCTGAATGAGTTTTTATAAGAATGTGCATTTTTGTGAGTTTCATCCAACAAGAACAGAGTGACAGGAAAGGAATAGATCTACTTCCCCTGAACCTGAAGCAACTGAAAAATACCTCAAATATCTTTAACACACAAGTCAGTGAGGCTTGAGAGAAGAGAAACAAAGGAAGGGAGCTGTAGAGTCGCCTCATGCGGGGAGAGCCTTCTGTGGCAGAACCCCATACCCTACTGAAAATAAGAACCACTGTCGCAGTTACTTTTCAATTGCTGTGACAAAACACCAAGACCAAGGCAGCTTATAGAAGTAACCATTTATTAAGGTTTATAATTTCAGAGGGCAAGTCCATGGCTGTCAGGGCTGGGAACACGGTAGCAGGCAGTCACTGGAGCAGCAGCCGAGAGCTGGATCCAGCAGAGAACGCTGACTGGGAATGGCTTGGGCTTTTGAAACTTGAAAGCCTATCCCCAGTGACACACCTTCTCCAACAAGCCCACACCTCCTAATCCTGCCCAAACAGTTCCATCAACCGGAGACCAAGCACCCAAACATAGGAGCCTTTGGGGAACTTTCTCATTTAAACTATTATGGAGATAGAGCTGGAAGGTCATGGAAGCCAAAGCAGACATGGTTCCCCGGGCAGAGAGACAGAAATGAGAGAATATCACGGAAAAAAGAGCTCTAGGACCCTGTCGCTTTACAAGAGCGCCCACCTCCAAACACTGCACTTGGTGTACGAGTTGAAGGTGGGATTTTACATCTAAACCATAGCAACGATCGAGACTGCTAACTTTTGGATGGGGTGGGCTTTGAACCTGGGCTTTGCACCTACGAGACAAGAACCCCATACGGGGCTTTGCGCTCCCAAGATGGTTGATCCTCTATGAGTGTACGAGTGTGTGTGTGTGTGTGTGTTTGTGTGTGTGTGTGCAAATGCACATATGCATACAGATGCAAGTACACACATGAAGACTGGGGGGGGGGGAATCAAGTGTTGCTCCTCAGGTGCCATCCATTAGGTTTTGGGCAGTTAGTGTTAGCATTTTCTTTCTAGACAGGGTCTCTCACTGGCCTAGAGCTCACCAAGCAGGCTAGATTGCTGGCCAGTGTGCCCAGGATCCTCCTGTCTCTGCCTCTCCAGACCTGGGATTATTCGAGTACACCACTACACTTGGCCTGTTGGATGAGTGTTCTGAGACTCTAATTTGGGTCCTTTATGTTTAGCACTTGCATCCTTCAGCTGGATGTTTTCCAGTGATTCCAGAGTTTCTGGGGTCATCAGCATACAGAGTCTGGCCTGGGGCGGGTGGGGGGGACCACCTTTTCAAAGGACCAGAATTAAAACAACACCAATGGCTTGGGTATGTCAGAAACCCCAAGACATCTGACACATACTCTCTCACCTGAGCAGGTAACGTTCTCAACACAAGCAGTAAACTTGTCAGCTCGGGGGAAATTAACCGCCAGGCAACCCAAAAATAAAAAGCTCACATCCCAGATTATTAAAAAATAATTTTTATTTCATCCAAGGCAAAGCTAAATCCAATTCTACAATGCAAAAATGTGTTGTAGAGGCAAGACAATCTAATCGCATTCAGTCTGTGCTTACACACAAGTCAGTGCTGGGCATGTGTGCATCGGTGCCTCCCAGAGGCACCATGGACCTGAGGCTCGCACGGCCCATCGCTATGTTGCTTGATCTATAAAGTTATATAGGAAAATTGACTAGAAGTACTGCCATCCAAGCCAGAGGAATAAACCATGCATAAGATAGTCAAAAGCACTGCATATCCAGTGGGACAGGGGAGTGCAGAGAATCCAACCTGGGACAAAAGAATAGGCAGCAAGCTAGAGGGTTTCCCCACAAATCCCTCTCCTGGGCATCCCTGCCCCAGCCCTCCAATGGCAGTTGTCTGTCACCTTGACGTGGAGTCATCTAATAGAATCCAGGAGCGTGGCTGTTCATTTCTGTCGCTTACCCTCCCTTCCCCACCCCCCTCCCCACCCCCACTCCCGACTCTCACCCCTTGCATGCACAGCCCACCCTCCTCAATCACACTTCTGCACCTGCAGATTCACCAGGTCTGTGGCTCTGCAGGCCTGATGTCGTGCCCTCCTCACCATACCCTCCTCACCAGTGCACCCTCTCACCTCCCGCTGTCTAAAAGACGCTCTTGCCTCCCTGGCTCCACCAAAGCTGTTTGGTCAGATGCGTGAAATTCTGCCTCCCATCTGTCCTTCTCTTGGGGGCCCTCCAGCACTGTGGGTTGATTCCAGTTGCCTTCTGCCCACTGTCTACACCGAGGGATCTGGGCCCTCGAATGCAGATGTCTATTTGGAGGTCAAGGATAAGGGACTTTGTGCTTTGTCTTTGGTCTCACTGACATCATTGTCAGCACAACTGCATGGATCCATGTTCCCCAAAGTCAACTGTGTAAGAGTTTCTGTAGCACACTGGCACAGGGAACACCTTCAGCAACCCTGAGATCACTATTGAAGACTCGCCTGCAAGAAGGTCTGGCTAGGGGAAATGGCTTTGCGAATATACATTCGAATGCAATCCGTGGCGATGTCTGCACAGGCATGCAGCTGGCACAAGGACCACACATTCTTTGTTAGGAGGACTAAGGTTTTGTGCTCTTAATCCCTACCAATTAAGTGCCAGCAGTATCACAGGCATTGGGACAACAATGATAAAAATGCACCTCCCCCCATAGTCCCGTCACCTCCATTCAAAACCAAAGATGCTCTGAGCATCAGTGAGAGCCAAGGTGCCTAAGGTCACAAAGGGAGGAGGAAGAATGGGAAGTGTGTAAGTGTTGTAGGGAGGCAAACAAAACTAAAGATGAAGACAGGACATACAGGGAACCAAACTAAAGATGAAGACAGG